CACACACACACACACACACACACACACACACACACACACACACACACACACACACACACACACACACACATCTCCACACACACACACACATCTCCACGCTCACACACACACATCTCCACGCACACACACATCTCCACACACAAGCACCCACACACTACTCACTCGTACCCACTCAGTTTCCAAATGCGTTGGGGAGGGAGGTTGGCTCTCTGCAAGGAAGCTGGCCGCTGTGCTGAGGAGGTGGTCCTCCAGGGGTCAGGAGATGGTCTATTCCTTCCTCATGCCACAGGGCATTGTCTGTTCCTTAACGTACGATGCCACAGGACACTGTCTGTTTACTACTGGCATCTGTTCCTGAGGTCGCATTCTGTATACCGCACCCTTGAATTCGTTTGTGCCGGCGCTTGAAGTAGTAGTACTCGTAACATAACTGCTTGGGCCTTATCTAGCAGGAAAATATATTTTCCATGTAAATATTAATTTTGAAAGGGAAAAGAAGGAACAAGCATTTCAAGTTGTTGTTGGTTCTTCAACGTATTCTTCCGGGGCACCCATCAACAGCTAACGGAGCTCTCCTCCGTACCATCCTGAATTTGGAAGTTGGATTTCGCCGGCGGATCATCTGTGGACTGATGAGCAACATGTCAGCCCTGTCGTCACCTCATTTGTGTGACACACTTGGACTGTCTGTGTACATCTTGTGGATACCTGTGGAGTGTGTTGACCTTTCAAATTGCGTCGTCGTCCTTTTGTCCTGTTGTTGTGTGACGGTCATCACACACAGGATCAGGATCTCATGTATGTTGCTTGCTGTTGATGATCATGGAGACAACATTTGTTCGGTTGTCGAGGCTCTTTTCGATATTGCTCTCATCTCAGTCGCTGTTGGGAAGTTGCAGTTGAAGTGGGGAAACGTGCGAAGAAGTTGCCGCAAAATCCGTTCTGGAATCATTGACAGTGCTAGGTGCCGGGGGAGCGGGGGGGGGGGGGGGGGGGGGGGGGGGAGGCGGCTGGCTTGATACTGGGAAATACCTTCTGGTCTGCTGCTGGATCATCCGAGAAATGTCTGAACATCTCTGAAGCTCTTCTCGTCTCTGGGGACAAATGGAGCATCAAGTAAAAAAGAAAAGGGTTGATGCATGCACAACTCTTCCAGCCTCTGTGTATCCGTGAACAACTTTCCACCTCTCTCACACACAGCTCTGACTCAGTCTCAGGATGATTCCGCAATCTGGTTCCAGTCACACACAATCACTTGCAGGTCCTGTTCGTCAACGAAATATCCTCTCTCTCTCTCTCTCTCTCTCTCTCTCTCTCTCTCTCTCTCTCTCTCTCTCTCTCTCTCTCTCTCTCTCTCTCTCTCTCTCTCTCCCGCCCTAAGGTTGAGGAAAGGGACTGTTACACGCAGGAGGAGAAGAGTGTGTGTAGACCATAGAGACCAGAAGTTTGTAGTTTGAAGGAGAAGAGCTGCGGTGACTAGTAAAAAAGAAGCAGTAGTTGGAGGAGTGGACATGGGTGATGCTATATGAACCAAGTGGTCTCAGAGCTGGGTGCGATACTACTTTGTGTGGTGGGGAGGGGATGGGGAAGTGCACTGCACTGCTGCTTGGCGCCCGCCTGTTGCTGGTGTGCGACTGTTGTTGTCATCATTGCCGTTTTATGTGGCAGATTGGTATGAAAGGGTTCATTGTTTGTATGTAACAAAGCAAAGAATTTTCCCGTCATCCTTTGAGAACTGTAGTTGATCCGCAGAGTACAGTTGGGACAATAAGGAAGGAATGTTTGCACCTTCAAGTACAGTGGTTTTGGGAAGCTCACTATCAGAGAACCACACAATTCATTCTTGAGTCACTGAATGAGCAAGCGAGTGCGTGTGTGTGTGTGTGTGTGTGTGTGTGTGTGTGTGTGTGTGTGTGTGTGTGTGTG